CTGGGACTGGGATCCCAGGCAGTCTGACTCCACAGGGGGCTTAATTTTCACCCGCCTGCCCCCCACCATGTCTTGTGTGCTCCTTGAGGGCCGGGACTATGACCATCTCATCTCTGTGTCCCCGGGACAGCACAGGGCCTAGCAAACAGCCGCACTTAATATAACACCTACAGAGTCAACAAATGAAAATGAACAGAAGAGGGTCGCCTGGGTGGCTCAGTCGGTTAAGCACCAATTTCAGCTCAGGTCATGATCTCACGGTCCGTGGGTTCAAGCCCCGTGTCGGGCTCTGTGCTGACACCTTGGAGCCTGGAGCCTGCTTCAGATCCCCGTGTCTCCCTCTCTCTTTGACCCTTCCCCACTCGCACTCTGTCTCTCTCTTTCTCTCTCTCCCTCTCTCTCTCTCACAAGTAAAATAAACATTAAAAAATTAAAAAAAAAAAAAAGAAAATGAACAAAAGCAAAGCAGCTTTCTATTCACTCTCTCCTTCAAGCCTCACTAGAGGCCTGCGACAAAAACAAGCCTGTGACAATTCAGTCAGGTAGACTGAGGCCCAGCAGAGAAAACAACTGCCTGAGCTCACCCAGCCAGGGGGTGCAGCAGCCAGGGAGTCCCAGCCCCGACTTCCACCCAGAGTGCACAGGGACTGGCCTGTGGGGGGCCCACGCCAGGAGCCATGTTCCTAGGCCCCCCTTAATATGCTAAGCTGAAACAAACCTCCGAGAAGCCCAGGTCCTGGTCCTGATGTCGGAATCTCCTCTCTGTATCCCTGATGGCTCGGGGCAGCCTTGACACTCCCCTCGCACCCCTCACAGCATGAGATGCTCACCACCATGCAGGCTGCCTGGTCCACTGTGGGACAGGTCATTGCTGTGGAAATCCTAGGCTACTCGCACACTGTTATGAGCTGAATTGCGTCCCCCCAAATTGACATGTTGAACTTCTAAACCCCAGTGCCTCAGAATGAGCTTATCTGGAAACTGGGTCATTGCAGATGTAATTAATTAATTAGCATGAGCACATAGCAGAGTAGGGTGGGCCCTTAATCTCATATGGCTTTGTGTCCTTAAAAGAAAGGGAAATCTGGACACTGACCCACACGGAAGGAAGACAATAGGGCAAGACACGGGAAAGGCAGCCATCTACAAGTCACAGAGAGCTCCTGCCCTCAGAGCCCTGCCGACAACGGCGATTTCCGACTTCCAGCCTCTAGAGCTGTGAGACGAGTGTCTGTTTAAGCGCCCCCATCCTTTGTCCACCAGACCTAGCACACTGCGACACCCATACCCCTGGGCTTTTGTGCTAACTCGGGCCCTCAGCAGCTGGGTGGCACCAGATGAGCCCCCACCCTTCTCTAAATCCTGGCTTGTTGCCATCATCCCCAGCACACCGCTCGGCACAGCACAGGCACTAAATGAGTACTCATTAGAACAGACGGCATAGGGGGCGCCTGGGTGGCGCAGTCGGTTAAGCGTCCGACTTCAGCCAGGTCACGATCTCGCGGTCCGCGAGTTCGAGCCCTGCGTCGGGCTCTGAGCTGATGGCTCAGAGCCTGGAGCCTGTTTCCGATTCTGTGTCTCCCTCTCTCTCTGCCCCTCCCCCGTTCATGCTCTGTCTCTCTCTGTCCCAAAAATAAATAAACGTTGAAAAAAAAAAATTAAAAAAAAAAAAAAAAAAGAACAGACGGCATACCAGCATCCACCTTCCACACGGCTGTGATAAAGATGACATAAGATGAGGAATGGGACACGCTCTCGAAACACCCATGGTGGCCACTAGGTCAGCAGAGAGGCACAGAGACCTGGGGGATGTCAGCGGAGAGGCACAGAGGGCTGGAGGTGTGACTGCAACCGGGGCCTCAACATTGGGGGAGCTGCTCCAGGCAGGCAGAGGTGGTAGAAGGTGACTCCCCCATCAAGCCACAGACATCACCCGAGTCCCCACCTCATGGTAGTCCCCCCAGCGCCCTGCGAGTAGGAAAGGAGAGCTTCTGAGTGCCAAACGCGGCCCCTGCCCCATGTGGAGCCCAGACCCTTCCAGAGAGGCTTCAGTGGGGGAGGAGGGGGGCAGGTTGAGTTCAGTCAGCACAGGGAAGAGCTCTGTCCACATCAGAGCTGCTCCAAGGCCTGGACTGGCCTGGAGAGAGTGCGGTCCCCATCCCTGCCGGAGTGTACATAAAGGTCAGAGGCCAGACTCTCAGGGACACCTGCACTCACCCAGTCTGAGTCTGGGTTGGGGCATCCCAACCCGGCTAACCATCAGGAGTGACTGTAGGGCTTGTAAACCATCCAGATTCCTGGGTTCCCCCAGTGACTCTGGGTCAGAAGGTCCTTGTGGGCCCCTGAGGATCCCCCTTTAATAACATCCCTGGGTAGTCCTGATGCAGAGCCAGGCATGGGACCCCAGCCCGGAGAGCTCCAGGGCTTGAGCCGGATTCCGTTTGGGAAGAGCTTCGACAGTGGAGGGCAGGGGCAGCACTCGGGCAGGAGACAGAAGCAGGAGATGGTGAGGAGAGCAAAGGTTAAGACAAAGTAGGGATGACGACAGTAAAATGCCAGGGTAGCTCACTAGATGAAAGGTAACGACAGCCATTCAAAGGGGCCAAAGTGGGTATGAGAGTGGGGGAGCCATTCTGGAAAGGACGGGGTTTGGCTAATGATGAGAAAAGTTTTCTAGACGGCAGGAAGGGAAGGGAAGACCCAACCTCGTGTGTGCAGGGACGGAGGACAAGGGTCACTTGTTGGAAAGAAGGAAGACAGGAACCAAATCATGAACGGCCCTGAATACCCAGGAGGAGGAGACAGCAAGGAGCCCCTGAGCATGGCATGAAGGCAGGCCTGCAACAATGACCACCAGGAGGGCTCACAGGGGCCTGGGCTGCTCCAGACTCACCGGATGAGGCTCCTCTGCAGGGAAAGGGAGAGAGGCCTGGGCCCGCACCCCATTTCCTGCCCACAGCAGCCCTGAAGAATGTTACAAAATGACAGTGCCGACCATTAGGCCATTGGGAGGAGCAGCTGGGCGGGTGGCTGGACGCAGTTTCTCTGGGCTGGTAAAGCCAGCTGCAAGGCACCCCCATGGGCAGAGAGCCTCCAGGGGCTGGGTTCACCCTAAGCAGTGAGGCCCAGACTCATGACCTTGTCCAGACTCAGAAGCTTTAAAACACCCCCCACCAGATGCTGACAATTCCCTCCTTCACACACCCAACCCCAGCGTCTGCCTCAGCTGCAGCCTCACATACCCATGGTCTGTGCAGCTGTGTGGATATTGGCATCTCAAACACACCACTCCCAAACTGGACTCTTCATTGCCCTCCAAACCCGTCCCCCGGCCCTCCCTTGCTCCGTCAAAGACTGCACCACCCACCCTGTTCTCAGGCTCCGATCTCTCCTAGATCTCTCCTAGCCCGCAGCCCATCCTCGCCCTGCCATGATCAGCCACACCTACCCGCCCCCCACCCAGGCCCTGCCAGCCATCTCTCTCTGGACTGATGCTGGGAACTCCTAGCCACCTGCCAGCCTCTATTCTTGCCCCCCACAGCTTTTTCCCCATGGGACAGTGAGAAGGAGCCTCTGAGCCACAAATCACCTCCATCCATACTAACTCAAGGCCCTGCAAGCCTCTTTCTCAGCCCCTCTTACCCAGCTCAGAGCCTGTCCGAGCTCTGAGGCCTGTCCCCTCTCCTCGGGTCCCTGCTCAAAGGGCACCTGACCTGAGATGCCTTTTCCTGACACCCTGCAGAGAATGGCTTCCACTGCTCGCCCGCTCTCTTGTCCTGCCTTATTTCTCTCCATGGCACTTACTACTTCCTAAGCTTATGTGATGAATTTACTTAATCTGGTTTTTTCCTGTCTACTCTGTTAGAATTTAAGCGCCATGAGGACAATGACCTGATCTAACTTTTTCACCCATGAATGCTGGACACGTAGAATGGTGCCTGACACACAGCAGCTGTTCAATAAGTATGTGTCGAAAGAACAACAAATGAGTCACTGAAAGAACGAACAACGTCCGCAAGCACTTGTGCTGTACCTGGTATTCATCACAAGGGATCAAAGGGGAAAATCAGGCTACGTTGGCCCCAAGAGACCCAAAGTCTTTGGGGAGAAACAGACCCATACCCACAAGTGATTCCCCTGAGCATGGTTCATTCACATGCTGGGTGGACATGTGTGCACAAGGCAGGGGAGTCCTGGGGATAGGGCCCACCAGCTGGGGATGGGGCACTCAGAGGTCAGAGAAGCCTCCTAGGAGTGACACCCCATGCCAAGCCTCCCTCCCTGGCTCTTCAGGGTCAGGGGTCTCCTCCCACTGACCACCAAGGGGATGAAGGATGGTCTCTCTGATTCAGGAGTAAGTAGATGTTCAGAGCCAGTGTGTACACCCTTCCTGCAAGGTGGAGACCTGAGCAGGGCTCGCCAGAGACAGAAGGGCTTGATTTTTTTTTTTTAATTTTTTTAAGTTTATTTATTTTTGAGACAGAGACAGAGCATGAACGGGGGAGGGTCAGAGAGAGACGGAGACACAGAATCCGAAACAGACTCCAGGCTCTGGCTGTCAGCACAGAGTCCGACACGGGGCTCGAACCCACGGACCGTGAGATCATGACCTGGGCCGAAGTCGGACGTTTAACCAACCGAGCCACCCAGGCGCCCCAGAAGGGCTTGATTTAAATGCCCTTGATCCTGCCAGTGAGCAAAAAGTCAAGGGCTGCAGCATCTGGGACCCTCAGCTTTGCCTGGCCTTCCCCCACCCTGCCATCCTGCCCCTCCCCTCTAACCACGGGAGTACCAAAGGAGTTGGCAGGGGAGCGGGCATGGGAGGCAGGAGTCAGCAAGGCAGCCCTGGCTTCCTCCAGAGCTTGGCTGGGCCAGGTCTCAGCCCCTCAGCACACCTCAGAGGCTCCCTCCTAGGCATGTCACTCCCCAGACACCCCAAAGCCCCCTTCCTCTATACCTTTGCTTCAGCTGGGCCCCCCCTCCCCTAAACCTTGTCTGCCCATCATAACTCTACATACATCATCCTGTTCATGCAGGCACTACTTATAATGAAACACATTGGAAACAATCAAAATATGTAATAGAACTGTTACACAAGAGATACCACACACAGGCTGGAACATTACGCTGCCATTAAAAATCACATTACAGAGAGTATTTCATGATGGGAAAATGAGCTTGGTATAGTATTAAGTACAAAAGGCAGGTTAGAAAACAGTAAGTACAGTCTGATCCCATTTATGTCACAAATACATATTTGGTAAAAGACTGACAGGCAAAACACCCAAATACTCACATTTTCTATAGAGAACGTGCTGTTGTGTTGTTTTGTTTTGTTTTTAATAATCAGGAAAATAGAACATTTTAAAAGAACCCGTTAGCCTTCAAGGCTCAGCCCAGACCTCCCCTCCTCCTCCTTGCATTCATTTCTCAGTGTATCTCTGCCCGCTGAGCTTCCTGGTGCCCGGTGCCGTCCCCCTGGGCAGCAAGAAGGATACTGTGGCCCCTGACGAGGCTAGGGGCAAAGCCCGGCCTCTCTGCCACCCCTGCCCATACCCCTCCCATCGCCCTTGGTAGCCCTGCGGAGAACCCTGACCACATCCTTCTCCCCATCTCCCAGCAGCAATTACAGGTTAAACCAGAGGGGCTGATTAGCTGCTCATTCCACTCAGAACTGACTGATTAGCAAGAATCTCTTGATAGAGACAACTGGACTTCAAAGCAAGGCCTAGTTTCTGGAAGGAAATCCAGCTGTCCACTTCCTGCCACACCTCACCAGCTTCCTGGGTGGGAGGACAGTGTTGGCTGAGCCTCAGCCACACCACGACTTTCACCTAATCCTTCGGGAGAAGGGGTTCGAGGCCCACTGCCCTACAGAGCCTCTGGATCTCCTTCCTCTGAAAATAATGATAACGGTCCAGTCCAGCCTGCTGCCCCCAGCCTTCCCCTAGCATTCCTTCTGTTTAGCAAAGTCCCTCAGCAGCTTTCTCATGGGTCCCAGAAGCCTGTCAAGAACAGCAGCAGATTGGCCCAGATAAAGGGGAGAAGTCACTCGCCCAAGGTCACAAGCAAGCCAGGAGTCAGGTCAAGCAGCAACCCAGCTCCTTCCTTCCCCCTCAGCACTTGCTGTAGTTTCTCCATATTACCCCACCTGGGACATAGTGGGAGGGCCTATCACCTCCCACATTCTGAATGTCCTGCTCCTCATGATACAATCCAAGTGGCCACCCACACTGCTCACACAAAGCCAAGGTCACCTGGCTGCCAGTACTTGTCACATGCACATGACTGGCACTGAGCCTCAGCCTGCCCCGAAGGTGTCTGGATCTGTGCGCGGACTCTGGCTTGGAGGTCCATTTAAAGTCCACATGTTGGAGCCAGTACCAGCTCCTCTTGACAGTTTCTTGGACCCGGTCTCAATCCACATGCTCCTGCTCCCTCCTGACCTGAAGTCATGCACACATTTGGTCAACAATGTGACAGAACCAAGGACAATCCCTTCTGCTCAGAACATTCCAGGCTTCTGAGCTAGCGGACAGAGCCCTGCCATAGCAAGGGCTAACAGAAGGTGGCACTACCTGATCAAACCTCCTGGACCCGACTTCATGTGGGGCCAGAGAGACGGGGACACCCCAAGAAAGACTACTTTTCCACAGCCTCCCTACGGCCTCTCCCTTGGGGACCCCATATCTGCCCCCACGGCCCATGCCACCCCCACTCTGCCCTGCGGCCCACAGTGGCTTCTTACCTCAGGTCAGGCAGGCGTTTGGGGAATGCAAATGGGCTGGGGTCAGCCTGGGTTTGACTCAGTCGCCCTCTTTGCCTGTGGGCACCGGAGCCTCAGGGCCTGTGGGCACAGGAGGCTGTGGGAGAAAGAGATGAGCTGTCAGCCACAGCCAGGCAGCAGGGGACAATTCTAGGGAGCAGCAGGGGGCCATGCACACAAATGGGTCTGATTACACCTGGCTGGGCAATAAACATACATCGCGCACACGTGCGCGTGCGCATGTGCTCTCACTCGCTGACACATTCGTACTCATGCTTACGTACATACATGCTCTCACATGTATACATACATACACTTACCGACACATTTATACATCACTCACACATTGGAATTTACACAGTGCTCTCTCTCTCTCTCTCTCTCTCTCTCTCACACACACACACACACACACACACACACACTCATATACCACCAGCTGGGGCAGGTGGGGCTCTGGGAATGATGGGGTTTCTGGCTCCAAGTGGGGGGAGGGGCTCTGAATATGCTTTCCCACCCGCTGGCTCTAAGACCTTGAGACAGTCAGGTCTCTGAGCCTCACTTCCCTCATCTGTATAATGGGGACACCAGTCATCCCACCTGGTCCACTGGGAAGATAAACAGAGATGGGGGCACATGGCCCGGCACACCGTGGTGCCCAGCCAGTGCCAGAGCCCGCCTGCCTTCCCAGCCTGGCCCAGGAGGCCGGCCTAGAGGCTGGCCCCACAGACGGGTGCAGGTAGAGCACCAGGGGGCATCTCCTGGAGCCTAAGCCTCAGCCTCCTGGTTCCCAAGGACCCTCTGCAGCTCCCACCCACCCACCATCCTTTCCTTCCCCAGCCTCTCCTGCTTTATTCCCTCACCATTCTCCAAGGGCCACTTCCACGAGTCAGGGAGGGCACTAGGGGGTTCTGTCTCCTCGGCAAGGCCCCCAGACACAGGACTCAGGCTGGGAGTCCAAGGAGGCAGCTCTCCGTGTGAGGCGTAGGCTGAGTTTCCGCCCCAGCGTCAGTTTCCTCAACCTCTCAGGTGAATCCCCGAATCCCTTTCTGAGCTGCTACCAAGAGGTTTCCATCTGATCGGTGCTTCTCAAAGTGTGGGACATCTGCCACTGTGAGTGCAAGAGCAAAGGGATTCTAGGTGGTACACAGACAAATGTTTTTATTTTCACAGCTATGTGTTTATTCTTCCATGTAATAATAATAATAATAATAATAATAATAACAGCACATCACAGCTGTGACTTCATGGATATGTGGCTTGGGGAGCACTGGGAAACCCACCTTCAAACATGAGTCAACACAAAGACAAGAATTAGGAAAACACAAGTGCCAGTGGCGCCCAGCAGTGGCCACAGCCCCGCGATGGTGGAAGGGAAATGCAGAAAGCTGGCATCTAACGTGGCCTGGCTCCCAGCAGCCCTCGCTAGGAGCGGCAGCTCCGTTCTTCCCAGGCTGGCTCCTCCTTTCCCTCTTGGTTCCCATATGGCGCTGTCCAGCATAGGCCTCAGTCCCCAGGAGGACTCACAAGTCTTTCCGGATGGATGGGAGTGGGGGGAGGGGGGGTGGAGGTGGCTGCCATCATGTGGGCAGAAGTCGGCAAAGGCCCCTGGGTCCCTCCCAAAATCAACATTCCATCAAGTCTAGGATGTGAATGGTGGAATTTCTCACCTTCATGTGAAGATGGGAGGACTCTTTGCAGCCAAGAGTCTTCTTGTTTCATGGGCTGCAAACGTCTCCTCTAGAATGAGGCGGAGAAATGGGCACTGAGCTGGCTTCTGGGCCCACTTTGGCCTGACCTGACAACACAGCTACAGGCAGGTAGAGCCGATAACAGGGGAGCTGCCTAGCCCCACATTCAGCAGCCCCAAACCATGCCCCCTGCTGCCAGCAAGCCCCAGCGGTGCCTTCCAAAGGCTGCTGTTCCTGGAGGACAAGGCAGGACTCAGTGGTGTCAGCCTGGGACGGACGGGTAACCAGAACCAAGGCATTTCCCCAGGCCTGGGTCCTCTGAGCCGCGTCCAGACAGGCAGGGGTGCCCTCGGTGGCTGCCCAAGCTGGCTCCAGGTAGACTGGCACAAGCCAACTCAGGCAGCTCTGGTCCTGGCAGGCCTCCAGACCACCTGGCTGGTGGCCCTGAGCCCAGTTCCACCTGAGCTGGTGGGGCAAGCCATCCCCACAGCACCACCCCAAGCCCCCAGCTGCCATGTTCCACGATGATGAATGGGCCTCCTGCTCCTTCTCCCCACACCTTCCTGAAGCTCCCCCTCTCCTCAGTGGCATCACGAGGAGTTGCTATGGAAATGGGACCACAGGCAGAGCATGACAATGATTTGGGGCAGGGAGATGCGGTGGGAGCCACGAGCTCTCCAGGCCCCGGGGCCTGCCTGTGCGTCTACTTCCAGGAAGGACATGAAATCCTGGCTGCAGGCCTCACAACAGAGGGAGCAAAGGAGACCACCACAGAGGTGGGGGCTTCCCACCGGCCCTCCTGGCTTCCTGCCCATTCAGTGGAGCCCAGGGAGCCATGGGAACCAGAGGTCTGTGTGTTCAACAGAATTGCCACGCACCCTGGGGACGCGAGACTTCCACGGAAACCACTATCCCAAGGTGCTGCCAAAGTGGGCTCCATGCTACGGGGCAGCACCCAGCAGGTGCTGAGCAAACTGCCACCGAAGAGGGCAGCACTGGCCAGGGAGAGACAGAGAGAGAGAGACATGGAGGCATGCGCCTGCTCTGGCCGACACAGCCACAGGACCACAGAGCTTGAGAGACCCACACCCCCTGAACAGATAAGGACATGGGGCCCAATGAGGGTTGAGGGGTCATCCAGCAAGTCGGTCGAAAAGTCAAGCCCAGAACCCAGGTCTCCTCTTCCCCAGACTTGAACCCTCTACCCAACACACCCAGCATTTCATTCATTCATTCATTCATTCATTCATTCATTCTACTTTTGGTAAGTGCCTATTTTCTGCTTGGTGACTTGGGATAAAGAGACGTAAAGTACACCACTCCCACCCTCTAGGACGGGCCATCGTGGGCTTGAGGAAGGTGCTGGGACAGAAGTCCAGAAGGCTGCAGGAGCCCAGAGAAGGTTACCTCATGGATTTCAGTGACACGCTTCTGAGCCATGTTTCAAGGAGACTCCAGGTTTTCCTGACTTGTCTCCCAGCTGCTACCTCCGCCCAGACCCTCCCTACAGCCCTATACAGAGGTCTCCAGGGTGAGGCAATATTGAGCCCACCTGGGGCCCTCGTCACCAGGAGGTAATGGGGGTGTTCCCATGAGCACCTCCAGTCCCTAGTATAAGGAATCACGAGGAATCACGAGGAAAACGCCTCGCTACACAGAAGGAGCTCCCAGAATGCCATGCTCTGCTTGCCCTCCTCCCCCAGGCTCAGCATCTTCCTGCACTGTTCCTGCTTTCCTGGGTACCTCCCCAAGCCAGGCCTCGCACTGGGCTTAGGGCCCTGCGCTGGGCAGAAAATAGGGAGCCCTAGACATCAGCTATCACCCTTGTGGAACTAAGTCCCCATCTCTCTGTCAGCAACATGAAAATTCTCCCCTGTGGTGTCTGGTTGTTTTTTTGTTTCTTTGTTTGTTTTTTGGTGGAGGGCTAGTACTGAAAGGGCAAGAGGGGACACCTTCCCAGAGCTTGGCTGTATCCCACATGGGCCATGCCTCTCAGCAGCTGGTACAGACTCCCAGGACCTATTTTACCCAGGTGGAAACCGAGCTCCTGGGAGGTGGCCCCACGTAGCTCAGTGCTTAGAAGGCAGAATGGGGAAAGACCAGTGAGGACAAAGAGAGGCCAGGTCTAAGACTGTGGAAGCAGAAGAAGGAGGTATCCAGGAAGGCTTCCTGGTGGAGGAGGGATTTAGATTGGCTCAGAGATTGCTCTAAGGCTCCCAGCAGGAAATGAGTGTGTCTGAAAGAGAGAACTGGGCCAGGGTCTGCTCCACCGGCCCAACAGACTTGGGGCTAGGCTGGGGGGAGGGGCAGGGTACATTCCCTGACTGCCTTCCAAACCGCTGAGGACTGCCACCGCCGTTATCCCACGTCCCTAATTACCGTTGTCCATTGGGAAACAGCTGGGGATAGAAAAACAGTAGAGACACAGAAAGTACTGGCCAGGGAGAGACCCTGGCCAGGGAGAAGACCACATAAGAGACAGAGGTCCAAAGAGACACAGAGTGACCGTGACCCCGAAGCCAGACAGACAGAAGGAACAGCAGTAATGAAAAAGAAAGGACAGACAGGCTGTCCCTCCCTCCCCCAGAGCCAGCGCTGCAGCTGCCGGGAGAAGCCTACAAACTGGAGCTCTGCAAAGATTTTTCAGCAATAAAATTCTTATTTGAAATGAAATCTTATGCAGTGGGGGAAGCCTTTCTATGCCAGACATTAAATCCAGAAGCCATAAAGTGAAAATTTGATAAGCCCAAGTACATAAACACGTAAAACATCTGTACAGCAAAAGACGCTATAAACAAGTTAAAAGGCAAGTGAGACACTGGAAGAAAATATCACTAATATACAAAGAGCCCCTACAAATCAATAAGAAAAAAGACAGAAGAAGAGAAAATTGGCAGTGAATTAGAAATCCACAGAGGAAAAAGTAAATTGGCCAATAAATGTATGAAAAGATGTTCTATCTCGCTAGCAATCAGGGAAATGCAAATGAAAATGACATGATACCATTTTTTGCCCATCAGATTGGGAAAAATTAAAATGATTGATAACAACCAGTGCTGGCAAGGATGTAGGAAAATGAACACTCATAGACCACTGGAAGGAGGGGAAATTGGCTCAACCTTTGGAAGGGTAATTTGGCACTATTGAGTAACATTTTAAACCCACACACCCTACAAACTAGTAATCCCACTTCTAGGAGCTTCTCCTACAGAAACTATAGCACAGACAGTTATGTATAAATATCCAAGGATGCTCATAGCAGTATTGCTGGTAAGAGTAAAAAAGAAATTGGAAATGACCTAAATGCTTATCAATAAGGGAATGTTCACATAAAATATAGCACATCTATACTACGGAATACTCTGCAGCCATTTGACGGAAAAAGGCATGTCTATGTATAACAATATGA